CCGCACCCGCACTCGCCCATCAAGAGTTGTCCCGCGCCGCACCCTGTTGCGTTGGGTCCCGCGGGTCCCGCGGTACTCCCGCGGGAGTGCAGGTCTCTACCGTAGACCTCCCATGTTAAAATGCCCAACTTTATAGCAGAAAACAAAAAGTTTACAGCCTGGAACAAAAAGTGGTTTTGGTCTATATAGCTAATTTAGCCCTTCATGACACCTGTGAGGGGGGTGCATTTTTTTATAACTCATCCGTTTAAATTATATTAAGCTTTAAAATTCTGCATAATTAAGGGCGTGGCCACTTGAGTGACAGGTGGATTGCTTCTGCTGTCACCACCGTCGAGCTAGGTGGGCGTGGTTTCAGCAAACAGTCACCTCAGCTCCACCCACGTACCGCTCATTTTCGATTATCCGAGAGTGACGCGCTGTGACGCGCTGCCTAGATGGCGATGGCCGGCTCCACCTACTTTAGGCTTAAAAAATGCTCTTCAGAAAGCTACGAGTGACGTCACTGACACTACGTCCATGTTTATATACAGTCTATGGTTACACCTGAGATATTTTTCTCACTCTGCTATTTAGAATAAAGCAAGGGTGTCAAACTCAATTCCCGGAGGGCCGGAGCCCTGCAAAGTTTTAGATTCAATCCTAATTAAACACACCTGATCCAACTAATCAAGTCCTTCAGGCTTATTTGAAAACTACATGGCATGTGTGTTGGAGCAGGGTTGGAACAAAACTCTGCAGGGCTCTGGACCTCCAGGAATTCAGTTTGACACCCCTGGAATAAAGCAACCTAAATATATGGTTAGATCAAGTAGAAATAGACCCTTGCAGATTATCAATTAAAATCAAAAGCTAAAAGGGAATTATGGCCAGCAAGGCCTTATTCAAGATCTGGTGCAAAGGTACCAATGAAATGAATAGTTACATTACATTGCAACATGTTTGATGTTCAAAGCTGTTGTACCACAAAGGATTCAGCTCTTTTGGATTGTTTAAAGGATTAGTTCACTTCCAGAAAAAAAAATTCTGATAATTTGTTCACCCCCATGTCATCCAAGATGTTCATGTCTTTCTTTCTTCAATCGCAAAGAAATTAAGGTTTTTGAGGAAAACATTCCAGGATTTTTCTCCATATAATGGACTTCAATGGGGACCAACGGGCTGAAGGTCCAAATTGCAGTGTCAGTGCAGCTTCAAAGGGCTATACACAATCCCAGCCGAGGAATAAGGGTCTTATCAAGTGAAACGATCGGTCATTTTCTACAAAAAATTAAAATGTATATACTTTTTAACCACAAATGCTTGTCTTGCACAAGCTGGACTTCACGCATTACGTAGTAACGAAAGGTAACCAACCGATCAAACTGATTGACTAAAACGAATCTCTGATTAATTTGAAACCCTGTATTCATAGAAGTTAATTTGCAGCATTTTATGTATTTTAAGTTAAAAAATATTTAGTTAAAACGCTGTTGTTCATCACTAAGTAATTTTTTTTTTTAATATTTTGATTTCCTTTTCTATTTAAAATTTCTATTTAGTGTAAAATTATTTATTTTGCTTGTAGAAATAAATAATATTATCTTACATTTTAAGAAAGATTTTACACTCTTGAATAGCTTAAAGTTAGCTTAAACCTAGTAATGTCATGCTTTTTCAAATGGGTATTTTAACTGTAATATAACTATTTTGAGTTATGGGAAGCTTATAAAGAAACAGTTACAAAGAAGCTTCCTCAACACTGATAAAATGACAATGGAAGTCTGAGGCGGAGATTAAGAGAGAGAAAGAAAGACACAACCATCAGGCTTGTCGGGAGTCCCCTCTGAACATTTTCAGCTCCCAGCTGTTGAATAATTAATGTACCCAGTGCAAAAACAGAGAACACAGCTCTCTTTCTCCCTCTCACCCACTTGTTCTCTGCGTTCCTTAGTTGATCCTTCTCTCACTGCTATTTTCCCTCATAACCACAGCCTGCCTTGTCTTTCAGATTCTTTCAGTGCTATTATTTAATTTTTGTTACTTTTGTGTCTTTCTCATTTAGTCAAGCGAAAGATTTTAAAAATGCAAAACAAAAGCCCAATAGAAAAAGACGTTGAACAATGAGATACAGTTGTACACAATGAATGAATGAAAAAGACTAAATAAAATGTTTATGATTTTTCTTCCTCATAAAAAATTTATCATTCAATTTGATAACGCTCTAGAATGGCAGCTTTTGATGGTTTGTTCGCTATACGTGTTGTATGAGCAGATGTATATTTATGAAGTTCCCAGCACTGCATGCATCCTTCAAGCGCTCCTTAAACGCTTTGGTAATCCTATCATTGCCCTTAAACTCTTCTTTCAGACTTACAGAGTGTGTGTGAGAGAGAGAGAGAACCACAGAGTGCACAGGCTTTAATAATGCATCTAGATAATGCTGCCTCTCTCCTTAAATGCTTTGGTAATCCTATCATTGCCCTTAAACTCTTCTTTCAGACTTACAGAGTGTGTGTGAGAGAGAGAGAGAACCACAGAGTGCATAGGCTTTAATAATGCATCTAGATAATGCTGCCTCACCACTCACACACACACACGAGCACACACACACAAGCACAACAAAACAGAAAGACAGTGAAAGAGTGGCAGAACAGCTTGATCTGAGCACCGCATGTCTTCAGAGGAAGCTGAATGGAGATCAGGGGCTTATAGATAAAGGGTGAATGGAAGGGGGTTGAGAAAATGAGAAAAAGATATATAGAAGGAAGGGAAAAGAATGAGAGAGAGAAAGCTGGGAAGACGGTGAGGTTGAAGAATGAGATGCTAAATAAAGACATTTATTATCATTGTATGTGCATTGCATGATTTGTTCTTTGGACTGTGGCTACTAGGAGTCTGCATGGCATGAGGATGCATCATCTTTTCTTCTCCCTATAAAGAGCTTGAGTTATGAGTTATGGGTCATCTTGATGTTCAAATTGGCTAGGTTTACTATAAAAAAAAAAAAATTTATATTTATCAAAGAAATCTGATATCATGATTTCCACAAAATAATAAACAGCAAAGCTGCTGTCATCACTGACAATAAGTTTTTAATTATATTTATATAATTTAAAATAAGTAGTAATGATGCTGAAAATTCAGCTTTGCCATCACAGAAATAAATATAAATGCAAAGATTTGTACTTGTGTTTTGTATAAGGAATTTTTTTACTGTGATTAAAGTGACATAAGTTCTATTATTGAGATTAGTCCACTGAAAACAATCTTTAAAATGTGGTGCTATACAATGCAATTATTAACAATCAGGAACAATTATTATAGGGTTAATGACATATAAGAGAGTTAACGCTAAATAAAAGGAAAGCTTTTTTAAAAATCCAGTTTAAATGTGCCACGTTTTTATAAATGCACATTCTTTTTATTTATGCTGGGTCCATATGGTTTTAAAAAACTTTCACATTTTCAAGAAATGTTTCAATTTAATGGCAAAAATTTATTTTTTCAAGGTAAAATGTATTTATTACAAATACCATGAATTATTACGTTCACATACTGGTAAAAAATTTATAACCTGAATGCACTGTAAGTCGCTTTGGATAAAAGCGTCTGCTAAATGCATAAATTATTAATTATTATTAATATTATTATTAATTATTAATTGAAATGATTAATTCATTAATATCTTCATGTTTTTGAGTAGTCACACCACATGACGTTTTACAACCCAAACTAACATTGCCTTGTCATAATAATAGTTAAAATATTTGATATTCTAAGATGCTTATTGACCTTGACAGACAGTCAGATCACTATATTGACATCAGCATAAAGGCCTAACTAAACTCTATGTCAGGGGTCTTCAACCTTTTTGCAGGTCAAGGACCCCTTGGTGGATGGAGAGACAGAGCGCACATAATGTTTAAAGTTAAGTGTTGCATTTAAAGCCTGGCCTATAATAAAATGTGCGTAGTATCACACTAATGTATTTACATACTTTGATAGCAAGTCCATTAAAGTCATATATATAGCTTAAAGGGGTCATATGATGCTATTTAAATTTTTCCTTTCTCTTTGGAGTGTTACAAGCTCTTGGTGCATAAAGACACACACACACACATACAGATGGGTGACAAATTAAAAGAAAATTCACAGAATCCATTGGCTCTGTTCTGAGTGATCACCTTTATCCTCTCGAGAAACATTTCTATCCTGATGGAAGTGGTCTCTTCGAGAATGACAATGCCCCCATCCATAGATCACAATGGGTCAAGGAATGGTTGGATGAGTAAACAGCGATCTCTACCACCATCATCAAAACACTAAAGGAGGGAATATCTTTTGCAAGAATGGTGTTCCATCTTTCAGACTTTGTTGTTTGTTGTTCTTTGTTGTTCATCACATGGTTGCTCAACATCTTATGTTGGTTTTTCCTTTAATTTGTCACATATATACATAAATACACTTTTAAATTTGATCAAAATTATAGAAAAAACAGTAATATTGTGAAATATTATTACAATTTAAAATAACCATTTTCTGTTTTAGCAAATTTTAAAATTTAATTTATTCTTATATTAAACCTGAATTTTAAGCATCATTACTCCAATCTTCAGTGTCACATGATCTTTCAGAAATCATACTGATATGCACTGCTTAATATTTTTGTGGAAACGGTGATTATTTTCAGGATTCTTTGATGAAAGTTCAAAAGAGCATTAATTTGAAATAGAAATATTCTGTAAAAAATGTTAATGTTTTCACTGTCACTTTTGATTAATTTAATACATCCTTGCTGCATAAAAGTATTCATTTCTTTAAAAAAAAAATTTGGTAGTGTGTATATATGACTTACTTGACAATTTTAGTTAGACTTATTTAATATTTTAATACAGTAGGGAGAATGAAACCTGAACTTGGACTTTAGCTTCTTAACTTTATCTTTGGTTGCATATTTGTGCATGCATGATCCCTGTTTATGCGGTTGCTAGAGTATATTCGGATTAAGTCAGTACTGAATATAAACATGCTAAATATGTATACTTTATGAATGCTCAGTACCTCTCCACAGCAATTTAAGGCCATATTACTGTCTTTGGATAGATGTGTACTTTTTTTTAAGAACAAATGTGTGTGCTGAATTTATGTGTCTGTAATTGGAGCTGTCATTTGCCCTGGGGGCTTCAGTACCTCTCATATGGAGAGCGTAATCAGATCTGTTCCTGTTGGAGATCTCCCTCTCCAAAAGCCACTTAAATGAATATTGGCACAAATTGTCCAATTTCAGCTGTTAGCAGCTTGTAAAATGCTGCTTCATGCCTGAAAGCTAGATGTGCTATGATAAAAGTCTGTGTTATCGTGTAGAGCATGCAAGATCACAGTCACATGTTTTAAGCATTAGTTTATGTGCTTGTACCCATTATTTAGTCCTAATGAGCATATCATCATTATCAGGTTTTAAACAGGAGGCAGACATATAAGCACCGTCTGTTTTGATAAGTTTACGATTACAAGGCATCAAGAATTCACAGTATTCAGCTGCTCCTAAAAATAACAGCATAAATAAATTATGGCCCTTTCCGAAGCCTGCCGGATCTCCTGCCTGATTTCTGCCCCCTCGGTTTTTACTACATATACTAATTATTATTATTACAGGCATGTTTTGTAATGTTTGCACCTGAACAGTAAAAATAAATCAAGTATGCATCAATCAAATGAATGAAGTTTGAGAAAACGTGCTGCGGGATCTTGCACAACAGCCGTATTTGTACTGAATGCACTAATACCCAACTTCCCTTATGAACCATCCAGGCTACACTAAATGAAACCTGAACCTTTTGGGCTTGCTATAACTAATGATGTGAAATGTAAAAATATATAGGCTAGACTTTATATTCATATGCATTTTTGTATAAGCTCCATCTCTTAAAGGAAACAATGAATTCATTTCTCACTCAAATAAACAAGGTTATCTGGCATTCCCTTAAATGCTGTAAGAAGATAATATAATAATACTGCCTGTGGGGAGAGTCTCTCTATCAGACAACTAGTAAAGACAACAGAAACGCTATTATTGCTGTTTTTAACCAGTTTTTCATGGTTATTTTACAGACACAAGCCATGGAATGAGCGCCTACAAAACGGCTTCTGTAAAAAACAAATCATATTTCTGTTCAGTTGTGGCTCTGTCTAATGAATACCCACTCTCTATCACTTGATGGCAATCTAAAAGACATCTCTAAAAAGCTGATGATGAGATGAAAGTGTCATTGACTTAATTCCCTTTAATCTGTCAAATTCACCTCGTCCCGTCAGAGACGCGCCTTCACCTTCATAACGTTTAATGAACAACATTTACATGCTCTATATCACTCACCTTACACGAAGAGTAACATTTTCATGAACTATCCATCGTCTTGCGCCGACAGAAGAGACATTGGGCCGGTAAATAAATAAAGTGAAGGCGGGTAAATCCGATGGGAGTTTCACAGAGACAGTTTAACCGTTTAATCTGCTTTCAGCGCTCTCTCTCTCTCTCTCTCTTTCTCCTACCTTTAAGATTGAGATTCCTGGAGCTTTATTGTCCCGTTAAAACCTCTACATTGCCAAAGCGTCAATAAACACCAGATACAGGCATATTTCCACCGTGTGAAGGTTTATAAGCATTACGTATGTCAGTCAGCACGCTTACTGCCTTTTTACACACAATATTTAACAATATTGTCAAAGTATCAGTGCACATATTAAAAAGAGTGACAAAAATAAAAATAATTATATATGTATTTTTAATTCATTTAATTGTTTTGAATAATTGTGTATTATTTAAAAAAAGTATTATTATTATTATTAGCTATTATTATTATTATGAGACATTAAAGTGGCATACTACATTATGAACGCTGTTGCTGACATGCACAGGCAGATCTTGATTAATATGATACATGATGATGAGTTCCCTTCTTGAGTAGCTCATGCAATTTATATATATATTTTTCACAGTAAAAAAAAGAAGAAGAAGAAGATATCTGCCTTTTTTGGTATGTTTGCATATATTAAATAATAATCGCAAAGCCACAAAAACTTTACTGCTGAAGTGTTTTCACTTGCCAGTAGCCTATTAAATAAGAAATAAAAGTCTGTAATGGATTTTTTTTTAAACAAATTTATTTTGTGAAAGGACAGTGAATGTATTTACTAATTACTGGAAGCAAAAATATTATTTAGCCAGTTCATACCTTTAAAACGTTAATTTTTCATGTATCCAATGTAGTGAGTAAAAAAATAAATAAATAAAATAAAATACATACATTTTATTTAAGGCAATGTACTTTTAAAAGTTTTTTTTATAAATGCACATTATTTTAATTTACGCTGGTTCTATATGGTTTAAAAAAACTCTCAAATCTTCAAGAAATGTTTCAATTTAATGACAAAAAGGTCATGTGGTCAAACCATCAAACAAAAATTAATAACATTTTACACATCTTAATCAGTTACACATAATCAAAAAGTTTCAAAAATATATTTTTCAAGGTAAAACGTATTTATTACAAATACCATGAATTATTAATTCATTAATATCATTACGTTTTTTGAGTAGTCACACCACATGGCATCTTACAACCCAAACTAACATTGCCTTGTCATGAATAGTCAAAATATTCGATATTCTAAGAGGATTGACCTTGACAGACAGTCAGATCACTATAATGACATCAGCATAAAGGCCTAACTAAACTTTATGTCAGGGGTCTTCAACCTTTTTGCAGGTCAAGGGCCCCTAGGTGGATGGAGAGACAGAGCGTACATAACGTTTTGGTATGTTTGCATACATTAATAATCGCAAAGCTACAAAAACGTAACTTTACAAGTGTTTTCACTCAGTTATACTGTTGAGAAATATGCAATAAGAAATAATGGTCTGTAATGGATTTTTTTTTTTTACCAATTTACTTTGTGAAAGGACAGTGAATGTATTTACTAATTAAACAAAAATATTATTTAGCCAATTCATACCGTTAAACCTTGCGAAGACCTCATAACCACCTCGACGACCATCAGCACAAGACCACGGGAACCAGACGAGTCCTCTGCACAATCTGACCTGTGTTGCAGCCTGGAATTAAACCACGCCATGCTGGTTTCGTCTGGCCAGAGGAGAACTGCCCCTGCTTAGTTGGGGAAGCTTGACTGATTGCACAGACACTATTGGAAGAGAGCTGAACTGGATGATGACTGAATCATCAATGAACTGACTTTAGCTGGAAAAATGACTCTGTCATCTCTTGCATTATTGACAAACTACTTTCCTGTTTGACACTGTAAAGCTGCTTTGACACAACCAGTATTGTATAAAGCACTATACAAAAAAAAAAGTATTTAATTTTTCTTTTATTCAATGAAGTGAGTAAAAAAAAAAAAAAAAAACACATTCATTTTATTTTTTATTTATTTATTTATTTGAGACAAACATACCTTTGCTGCATCTGATTTCATCATTTTTATGACCAAAACTAAACTCCCCCTCAGAGATTAATAAAGTTATACTATTGTACAGCACTGTTTTGTAATGCCGTTGTATCATAGACAAGTATGACCTATACGCTTTGTATAACATACAGTCCACCAGATGGCGCTGTGCTCTCTTCAAGCCCAGAGCGAGATGAAGAGAAGCAGAAATGAAATCGTGTAGGAAGAGAGAACTGTCATGAAGTAGAACAGCTGGGGTTGAAAGGGACTGGACTGCGTGCCCACGATCACACTACACTGAGGTATTTCTAATAAATACACATGACAGAGAACACGCGTGTTGTGCGCACGGGAACAGCTTCATCTTGCTATTATGGGCTCAGAAAAGAACTTTGACAACGAAACTAGAAGTGGACATTTAATATGGTCACACTAGCAGCTAATGAGCTAACTGTAAACAAACCTATCCGAGTAGAGTAACCAGTATAATTTGAACGATAAAAATAACGAAGGGAGTTTACATAATATATATATGTATTTCAGCTATATCTAGTCCGGCTTTTCTGGTTGTATATCATTGTTTTATCAGCAGATTATGGGAGTGGGCCTGCGTTCAAAACTCATGCAACTAGACGTTTATAAATGACACTCTCAGGCTTGCTGCATTGTGCATTAATTACGATACAAAGGGCTGATGTAATTTACAAAAATGTATTATGGCAAATTTCTTTAGAATTGTAGATGATGTAAATAAACACACTTGTAGGTTTGACTGTTAGTGATCGCACTGATGAAATCCTAGTCGGGTGATTTGTCTGTAAAGTTCATATCAGTTATCAGTATAACCCAAATCATTATATAAAAACAATCATAATAGCTAGACAGTCAGTCAAATGCATGGAAGAAGAAGCTGTGTTAATCATGATTGTGAAGGGGTGGTGTGCTCTGCAGGTAGAGCCTCTGGAGGCAGGAGGGAGAGGTCAGGATGGCAGGTGTTGGGGCAAGTGCCACGGCTAACCCTGCCTGTAAGATCATGACCTTTAGACCTACCATGGAGGAGTTTAAGGACTTCAACCAGTACCTGGTTTATATGGAGTCTCAGGGAGCTCAACGTGCAGGACTGGCCAAGGTTGGTATGTTTGTATGTTTATGCATGTGATTGATAGGAAAAGTGTATGTTGTACATATAATAATACAAGTCCAAAATCTAAATGCACAATATGAGTCCATTGGATGTTTGTTTTTGTGTTCAGTCAGTGAGGACAATACAAAAGAGAGATGGGCATTTTTTTTTTTTTAATTCATAAGCTCATAACTCTAATATATAAGATGTAATAATAATGTGTAGTCCTCTAAATTTATATCTCAGTTGTGGACTATATAGTGCAAATAAAATGTTAGATCTTAATTATTTCCACAGGTCGTTCCACCCAAGGGCTGGAAGCCACGGCGCAATTACGATGATATTGATGATTTCGTCATCCAAGCACCTATTCAGCAGATGGTGGCTGGCCAATCAGGACTCTTCACCCAGTACAACATCCAGAAGAAACCTCTCACTGTGCAAGAATTCCGCAGACTGGCCAACAGTGACATGTAAGTGACAAACACAGAAGAAGTGCACATATCTGGGTTCAAAGTAGCAGGCTTTTATTCTACTCTAATGGCATTTAAACACAGCATGTGCATGCAGTATATGTTCTCTTCTTCTTTTTACAGTACTCCGCCATAACCTACAGTCGAGGTTATTATTTCACATTACCCAGAAAGCAAAGCAGTGCATAAAGGACAGCGGATTTATTAACTAAATAAACAAAATAGTTTTGAAATATATTATTTGAATATTTTTGAAAAAATATTTGTATTGGAATATTTTTGTTTAAAATAAATTTCAAACAATGGCATGCAGTTCACAAACACCTCTGGTTTCTTTTATATTCTGGACTTCTATTGCACACTGCAATAAGATTCCTTTAAATGATGGATTGACCTATATTCGTTAAGGCCATCTGGAGATGTGTGATTTAACTACTCAGGTACTGCACACCTCGCTACCTGAACTATGAAGATCTGGAGAGGAAGTACTGGAAGAATCTGACATTCGTCTCACCCATCTATGGTGCTGATGTCAGCGGCACGCTCTATGATGAGGTGAGGATGCAGGCGTAGCACAGCTCTTGTCCTCTGAACATCCAGCGTAACATACCTCAAATGGAATGTGAAAGGCGTGTATGTTATGACAAAGGATAACACAGTGAAATAACGAGAGCATGTAAGCAGGAGATGGCTGAGATCATGTTTGCCCCTCTTATTTCAGGACATCGAAGAGTGGAACATCGGGCACTTGAACTCAATCTTGGATGTGATTGAGGAGGATTGTGGAGTGTCCATTCAGGGCGTAAACACACCCTATCTGTACTTTGGAATGTGGAAGACCAGCTTCTCCTGGCACACGGAGGACATGGACCTCTACAGCATTAACTACCTGCACTTTGGGGAGCCCAAATCCTGGTAGGGTTTGCTGTGGTTTCCTGTTTTGAAAAAATATTTGTATTTGAATATTTTTGTTTAAAATAAATTTCAAACAATGGCATGCAGTTCACAAACACCTCTGGTTTCTTCCTTGACGTATGCATTGTTATATTCTGGACTTCTATTGCACACTGCAATAAGATTCCTTTAAATGATGGATTGACCTATATTCGTTAAGGCCATCTGGAGATGTGTGATTTAACTACTCAGGTACTGCACACCTCGCTACCTGAACTATGAAGATCTGGAGAGGAAGTACTGGAAGAATCTGACATTCGTCTCACCCATCTATGGTGCTGATGTCAGCGGCACGCTCTATGATGAGGTGAGGATGCAGGCGTAGCACAGCTCTTGTCCTCTGAACATCCAGCGTAACATACCTCAAATGGAATGTGAAAGGCGTGTATGTTATGACAAAGGATAACACAGTGAAATAACGAGAGCATGTAAGCAGGAGATGGCTGAGATCATGTTTGCCCCTCTTATTTCAGGACATCGAAGAGTGGAACATCGGGCACTTGAACTCAATCTTGGATGTGATTGAGGAGGATTGTGGAGTGTCCATTCAGGGCGTAAACACACCCTATCTGTACTTTGGAATGTGGAAGACCAGCTTCTCCTGGCACACGGAGGACATGGACCTCTACAGCATTAACTACCTGCACTTTGGGGAGCCCAAATCCTGGTAGGGTTTGCTGTGGTTTCCTGTGTTTCTTGAGTATGCAAAGATCTTCTTTCTACCTCTGAGGACCTGGAATTCTGCCACTTTTTAAAATTAATAAATAAATATACCAATTTCACAGGTATGCCATCCCTCCAGAACATGGGAAGAGATTGGAGCGTCTTGCTATAGGTAAAAACTTAAAAAACTTACAGTAGTCTTTTAAAGGAATGTGCAGTATATTGACGCCTTAATATCATTTGTTTAATATTTTTGCATTCTTGCTTGTATACAAAATATATATGACCATGCATCCTCTTTTTCTGGCCAGGATTTCTAAACTGCCTAAAATGTCCAGGTTTTGGCTTTTTTTTTTTTCTGTGTTTTTTTTTCATACTTGCTGAGGGTAATGATGACTGATAAGTAGTTGAACCAATAGCGTGCAGGCATTGTACATAATCATCCAGTTGTGGAGTTCGGAAAGGTGGGAACTACAGAGAACGGTCAATGCAATGCATATATGTGCACATATATTGTATGATGACTGTAAAAATGAATTTTATAGGAAAACGAAGCCAAAACCCGGACATTTTGGGCAATTTAAAAATACCGTCCAGAACATGTCCGGGAAAAAGAGGGCATATGGTCACCCTAAGTATATCTAGCTAATCTACATATCATTATTTCCTTTGTGTTGTACTGGGTGTGATAAATGTCTTTGTCTTTAGGTTTCTTTCCTAACAGCTTTAAAAGCTGTGAGACCTTCATGAGACACAAGATGACTCTGATATCCCCCTCTGTACTAAAGAAATACAGCATACCATTTGACAAGGCAATCCACAGTCTTTTAGAATCAATTTTCTAAACTATTTTAGTTTTATGAATAATGTTGCAGTGTCTCAGTTCTCCTTGAATGTATTCACAATAAACCGATATATTATTACAGATAACACAGGAAGCGGGGGAGTTTATGATCACATTTCCATATGGTTACCACGCTGGCTTCAACCACGGCTTTAACTGTGCTGAATCCACCAATTTCGCAAGTATCCGGTGGATTGATTATGGAAAAGTTGCTACGCAGGTACTAAGCTGTTGCTGATGTAAATCTGGCACCTTCACGTTACCGTCATCTACAGCTGGTGAACATTTGACACTCTCTTGTTTTTGTTTTTTTGTGGGAAATCTGTCCTCTTGCAGTGTACATGCAGTAAGGACATGGTGAAGATCTCCATGGATCCGTTTGTCAGACGATTCCAGCCGGATCGCTATCAGGCTTGGACACAAGGCAAAGACTCATGTCCATTGGATCACACCCTGGCCACACCCAGCACCACACCAGAGCTGCAGAGCTGGCTTCAGAGGCGGCGCAGGAAAGCGCCCTCCACCACAAGGTGTTAGCACGGTTTAACTATGGTCAGTTTCCTCTTTCAGGTCAACTGCTGTCATGGAGGAGCAACAGCGTGAAGAGAAATTTGCTGAGCAACTTGACATTTCAGTCTATTTAAGACCCTTCATCTTCTCTGCTTTAGTAGAGATCCAAAGACAGAAAGAACAGATGTTTGGAGACTGACTCTATCGCCACTTGAAGTACTGACCAGTGTTGTTATTGTTAACTATTAAAAATTATTTTTGTTAATTGGAATGAAGTTGAAATAAAATAAAATATACATATTAGATTTTAAAAAATCTTGAACTTAAAAACTTAAATAAAAATTTTGAATGTTGCCTTGGAAAGGAGCTGAAATTTAATACCTTGAAGTTGAAATATTAAAATTACTAAAACTGAAATAATGCTGAATAGAAATATTTAATAGAATGACAAAACCACAACAAAATTACTAAAACTTAAGCTAAAATGAAAATGAAAATAAAGACTATAAAAAAAGCAAATTCAAAAGATTAATATTATAATAGTATAGTAATAATACTATAATAACACTGGTACAGACATTTTTTTATTGTCACTGTAATGTAAGAAGGCACAGTAAGTAGCCTAGAACAGTGCTGCACAATTGTGATGTTTTTTGGCCAAAATTCAAGTCTGCGTCTGAGCAAAATATTACAAAATACTTCAAACTTATCTGACCTTTACATTATACTTTGAAACATAGAGAGCCATGTGATGCTAAATATCCAAATGCCTTCTCTACTTTTGGTCACATATCCTTGGGGAGCATAAGCATTAAAAATCGGAAATGTATGTGCAATACTTGTGTGTTTATATCTCAGAAAACCTGTTTTATTGTTTCATGACACTTGTTTTGTCTTATTAGGGCTCTCTGGTCCATGTCGGCAAATGTGTGTTGTTAAAGTAACAAGAGTGGAGAATGACTTGCTTGCCCACTCCTCTAGACAAGTCAAAGATGCTTCCCCTGAGCGACTCTCGACCCCTGCCACATCCAGGCAGAGTGACCCCGATCCAGGTCACTCAAGCTCCCATACGTCTTCAAATTTCTATGAAGGTCAAGTATCCACAAACACAAGCTGTACCGCACAGCCTGGACCTGAACCAACCTCAGAGAGTGACGTCACTGTGGATGTGACTCTGGACTCAGAAAGAACTACTGAAAGTCCTAATCAAACACTAAACTGTGAATCTGTCCCAGAAACAAGTGCTCCTTCTATTCCTGTGACCCATTCGTCAAGACTTAACTCCACTGGTGCTGCGGTTTTATTTTTGGAAGCTGATTCCCAACAAGCTAAAATTGAAACCGAAGAGGCAGTCACCGATATCTTGGCTGAAAGCAGCATCGATTGCGGCACATCAGCACTTTACGAGGAGCAAAGCTCGATCCGTCTAGACTCGGCTCAGGATTCAGAAACCTCAGAGAACAGAACAAACCCTGAAATCCAGACTACTCAGTTTTGTGAGATGCCTCTTCTAATGCCCGAGCTCACGGAAGAGAGAGTCAATCCTCAATCCCTCGCACCTGAAATGCCCTCGCTGACTCTCGCTGTCCGACCCGACACTACAAATCACAGACCTCACAGTCCGAACAACAGTGCACCTGTTCTCCATCGGGAAAAATCACACTCGCCTCCTGTTATAACAGATGATGTGGCGACTTGTTCTGAAAGAGCTTGTTATGACTGGCCCTTCGTTGCATCCCAAGAAGGCGTAAACCAATCACAAAACTCAATCTCAGACAGCTTTATAGCAAAACCAGCATGTCCTTCCTTGGTTCCGGAATGGGGGCCACCAGAGGAGTCCAAACAGGAAGGACATGAACACACATGCCCATCCACAGACCAGAACACTCGAAATGAGTCCATTTCGCAGTTTAAAATCACCACTCACGGTATTTTGCAATGTTCTACCGTAGCAGATGTGGATTTAATGGACGCTCGAGACTCTGAAATGACCGATAACTCAGTAGAAAGAAGTCTTGAAGAGCAGTCAAGCTCTCTCACATCCTTCCAGGGCTCCTTCATGGAGTCCAAAACCTTCACCATTTGGAAAAACCTCAGCTCCCAGAATCCCGCAGTGCTCATTGAGAGCTTGCAGCCCGAGCTGGTAGTGGGTCTTACCACAGGTGGGAGCAGTCTCACAGACTATGCTCATGACTCGCTGCCCTACACCATGTGGTCCGAATCGGGGTTCCAACAAGAAAAGTTCCCTGATTCCCCAAACTCTTCATCATGCACTCAGACCTGGACCAACCTGGAGCCCATTCCCATGCAGTGCTCTGGTGCAGACATGGCTCCAAACGCACCCCCGGATCTGAAGCAGCAGAACGTGGAGTTGGAACCAGCTAAAGCTTGTGTGCTCGGTGAGCAGGCAGGCTCTCAGGAACCTCAGGAGGAAGAGTTCAAAGGTCAGGAGTATTACGAATGTGCGAAGTCAGAGCATGATGGGTCTGTGAGCGACTCTGATTGGTGTGAATCAGGAGATAAAGGTGCTGACAGCAGCAGTGAATCCAGTGAGGAGAATGCCATGAGTGACCCTGAGTATGTGGAAACGGGCCTGGAGCCTGGGGAAGTCTGTACAGTGAGTTCTGGTGCTACACCATGACAAGCAGTACATCCTATTCTATATAGTTCTGAACTTCCGTCACAATCAGCATTTGACCGGGGTGACAAGACATTTTGCTGATCACTTGGTTTCCAGTTTAATCATCTGATACTGGATGAACTTGTCTGCAGTAAAATCAAATTTTTTTCCTGAATGTTAAATAACAAATGTGTTCTGATTGGCTTTTGTTTTGCTATGTCATTTTTCTTTTAGATAAACAAAACTTAACTAAACCTAAAGTAAATTTTGCATAAAAAATTTAAGCAACTCAAATCACATATGCAAAAAAACATAGACACCTGGTGGGCTTAAAAACATGTTTTTTTTGTTGTTTTTTTGTAATTTCACATAATTTTCATATTTATTGTTTTTTTTAATTATGTATATTTGGTTATTTATGTTATGTTTATTTATATTTAATCTATAGAAAGTTCAAACAGAACAATACAATTTCTTTTGTAACAATGTGAGTCTTTACTGTGACTTGATCAGTTTAATGCATCCTTGCTGAATAAAAGTATCAATTAAATTTTTTTCAATCTTACTGACCACAAACTTTTGAATGGTATTGTATATTAATTTACACCTGTTGTGAATCCAGTGAAAATTTCTTTACACTACACCTAAATCAGAGCACTCACATAATTGCTGTTCACACCTTAACACCTTGTTAACGAAGCTTAACGATGCCAAAGCATTAATAAATGTTCACACACTATATATGAAGAGTTTATTTGCAAAAACAGATAACTCAGTTTTTAGTTATTTTTTTACCTAATCAAAATAACTTAACTGCAGTTTGATTGAGATTAATTGGAATGCACAATGAAAAAACACGTTTTCTGTTTCTGTTTCTGCCAATGAACTCTTCATATACACACACACATGCACAATGAAGGTTGCAACAGTATTTTATGTTTTTGGAAAGTGTATCTCTCTCACTGACCGCCTCTTTGTCTCTCTTATTTTTGCTCTCACAGTATCATATGCAAACTGTTAAGAAGACAACCAAGAGCTGGCGTCACCCCCTCAGAAAGCCCACGGCAAGAGCAGTGCCAAGTGCTGTGAAACAGCAGGCTGCCAGCGATGATGGTGAATGTTTAACCGCTTTCATTTTATTATGAGCAATAAACTTACAATTAGGAATAGGTATTATAAGAAGAATGTACACATGCAGACTGACATCGTTGGCTCTTGTGTCCTGCTGTTTTTCAGTGTCTCAAACCGTGCACACATGCGCTTTTAAGAAGCTGCGTCAGGTTATAATTAATCATACATGACGGCCTTAGAGTAAATATTTATTCGTGTGTGTGACTCAGAGACTATGGAGGAGTGTGCGACTAAAGAAGAGGAGCCGGAAACTGAGGAATGGGCAAAGCCTTTAGTGCATCTGTGGCAACACAGAAAAGCTCATCTTCAGTATGAACGAGAGTACAACACGACTGCAGCTAAAAGCGCTCCACACTGTGCTGTCTGCACCCTTTTCATGCCATACTGTCAGGTAACTGATGTAGACAGATACTATGTACTGATTTGTGCATATGTGCTTTGTGACACACGCATAATTCAGACTCTTGTTTTTGCTCTCACAGCCTGATAATTTAGATGAGAGAAGGCACGATGTCTTGACGAGTACTGCCACAGAGTCTCAGGGGTCATGTTCTCAGGAGGCAAGCTTGACATCACGACCTCTGATCCCTGAAATTTGCTTTGCGTACCAGGAGGGCCCATGTCCCTTGAACACACTGCTGGAGGAGGATGGATCCAGTCCTCTTGTGGCCTGCAATAGCTGCTGTGTTCAAGTTCATGCCAGTACGTCACTGAGATCTCTCAACAACACACATAACACATGAAAAAAA